TCTAGGTATGAGCAACACCAGTATTTCATTTGTGAAAGAAGTGTGTTTTGGTATATTTGGTAATAAAGGTGGCTTTTGTTTCATTTTCTTTTGGTCTTAATGTAAAGGAAGGCAGGATAGAAAGATGAGGAAAATTCTGGGGACATGAGGAAGGAAAGGACCCCCACCTCCCTCAAGTATTGAAGTCTCTCAATAGCTGAGATGCAGGAATTGAAGCACAGTTAACATTTCTGCTGTGACAGTTATAGACATAAAGATAATCCCTTTATATATAGACTCTTAAAAATTTTTATTGAGCTTTTATAATTTCATAAAATAGTTCTTAATCAAATTTAAACCCTCTCCCCCATCCATGCTCCCTATCCCGTCACTGAACCTCGTGTATTCCACCATACATGTTAAGTCCCATCCAGTCAAGCATTTGTACCCCAGATGTCCTTCAGTGCAAATTTGTTCACCAGAGTCTGGAGATCAGATGTAAGGCATTCTCTCCCTCATCTACCATCAGTCAGTCTCCAATAGTTCTCAGTTTAGGGATGGCCCACCATTCATTTCTCACCTCCCTTCTGGGCCCTTGTTTAATTGAGTTGGCTTAGGTCCTGTGCTCGATGCCACCATTGCCACAGTTCATATGTGAACTACCCTATGTGGGTTCTGGGAACTGAACTCGTCCTCTGCAAGAGCAGTATACACTCATAACCACTGAGCCATCTCTCCAGCCCTTAGATATTTTATTAAGTAACAATGGCTAGGCTTATGGCCTGAATGTATTCAACTTTGGGTAGAGCCTTATTCCTAAAATGGAAAGCATCTACTTTCTTAAAGTACAAAACTTTAAGAACTATAAGCTTTGTTTACTGTAAAGTCACCTACCTTCTGTACCCCTGAGAGGTAAGTTTTTAACCTACCAGTTGTGATTCTGTCAGGTGCCTCTCCAAACTACCTTTGCAGTTCTTTGAAGATAGTAACTTCAAACCCTACCAGAGTTCTTTGCGGAACTGTTGTGTTGGTTTTTGTTTTTTTGGTTTGTTTTAAAAAGAGCTGTGACTCTTAGAAAACCCACATATCCATGCTTTTGGGTGTGTTTTATTTCTTCTGAATACCTCTTTTAACTCTTAAGCTTAAGTCTATATTAAAGTATCTATATTAAATCCCAGCTCTACTTTATAAACTGACTAGTCTTAGAATTCATTTTTTTGCCTTGAAGCCACAAATCTATGCTAGTTGACATCCCTAGAAATCTAGGGGAATTAGCTGTGCCTCCTGTGTCTGGACTCCAAGACACTGACATCAAGAACTATAGTAAAAGAACTAGGCCATTATTACTTAAAACTTTATTCCTTTACTCAGCTTCATTACTTGAACTTTTAAAAAAATCATTTTCCATAAAAGTTTGTTTGTAAGAACCAGGCCATGAAAGGGTCGTAAGATACCTAAAAGTCATTTGACTAAAGTGTTTCTTAAGACTTGGAGGATGCCTTGTGCTTCTTCCCTATAGTCTTCAAAGGAAAGCAAAGAATCAAAACTCCTGGAGGGGATTGCTTTCGCTAGTGTACCAGCCAGCAGAGCATCCTTGAAGGAGTTCTGCAGGCATTACTGTTGGAACTCTGCAGATGCCTCAGAGACCTTGATCCTCACTACTCTGGCCTCCAGCTTGAGCTGCACTCTGAAGGGCACTGTGCTGATATGACAACAGCATGCTAGTTACATGGGCCAGTTTGTTCGTTTTAAATATAAGTACAACATAAGCCTATGAATTAAATTTACCTCATTGCTAATAGGCAATGCATGTAAAGTTCTCAGGACATTGCCTAGAATACAAATATTCAGTAAATATACCTATTATTTAAATTAAGCATTGTTCATTCCATCAATCTTTTAAATTTTTATTTAACATTATTTATTTGGAAGGGGGATCATGCCATGGCATGCTTGTGGAGGTCAGAGGACATCTTGCAGAACTCAGTTTTCTCTCTTTGCATCTTATGGGTTCCAAGGATCAAACTCAAGTTACCAGGCTTGGTAGCAAGTACCTCCTACATGTTAAGCCATCTCACTGGTCCTTATCAGTCTTCATGTTACATAGTTTTAAGTCTTCTTACCTTACTTAGCGCACAGCATATTATTAATGAGAGCAATGTAATTAATGTGCTGTGGAAATACCTTTAGATTTCTTTTCTTCTCCCCTCTGTACTTCCCTCCTACCCAAATCCCCTGTCTAAACCAGATCAGATTGGCTTTCATCCTTGTGTCCCTCTGTGCCTAAATATAAATAAATACAGGCATATGACCTTTGTTCATTCCTCCTCCTCCTCCCCTCCCCCTCCCCCTCCCCTCCCCCCCTCCTGTCCTTGGCTGAGTCATTTTGGACATAGTGTATTTCTGACCAGCGAGACCTCAAGAAAAATCTGACAGGAGTTGGATTTGACACTTCTGAGAAAGGTGGTTGTTACTAAGAGAGAGTCACATAGATGATTTTGTCTTACTTTCTGGTTATTGATAAATCTGGATATGAAGTCTGTTGTACTTCAAATACCAGGGATAAGAAGAAGGAGTAGAGGTCCTAGGTCATTATAACAGTATTAAAGAGAGAGGTGGACTCTTAAATACGTTGTTGAGTTAATAAACTAACCAACCCTGAACCTTCCCTTACTCTTATTGTGTGTAAACTTTCTTACTATTGACACCACTTTGAGTTGGATTGTCTTATTTTTAAGTAAAAGTAAGCATAACCAATAAAGAAACTGTGGGTGGCTTATTGGATGAATATTATCTGCTTCACAGAGTTGCAGGGAATACATTGAAATTTTATAAGTGAAAGTCATCATTGTAATTATAAAGTATTATAACCTCACCAATTTAGTTCAGCTAAATTACCACAAAATATATTTGTTTATAGTGAGCAGATTGCTGTAGGCTCTTTGCTATTTACCTGTTATATTATTGTGCATGTTATGGAACCCTTTGCTGACTATATTGTAAAACAGAATTAAATGTATTTTTTCTTTACTGGGCAGGGGATGATGATGATTAAACTCAGGGTTTTGAGCATGTTAAGGAAGTACTAAGCTATATCTCCATTTTTAATTTTTTAAAAATGCTTTCTATGTATTTTCTTTTGTGTTTTGTCTGCATATATGTAAGTGCACTACATGCATGCAGTGCCTATGGAGGCCAGAAAATGACATTGGATCCTCTGTAACTAGAGTTACAGATGGTTATTAGCTCCTGTGTTGGTGCTGGGAACTAAGCAGGAGTCTGCAGGAGTGGCCTGTGCTTTTAACCACTGAGCCACCTCTCCAGCCCCTTTTCATTTTTTTATTTTGAGACAAGGTTTTGTTTAGTTACCCAGGTTGACCTTGAACTTATCATCCTTCTATATCAGCCCCCCAAGTAGCTGGTACTACAGGACTGTATCCCTAAGCCCAGCTCTGAATTAAGTGATCTCTAAAGTCTGTTCTGACTGTGAAATGAGTCTGATCATTTTTGGATTCCTGCCTGAGAGCTCTGTATAGGTTAAGGCAGTAGATCTAAATAACTTTTTAATCGAAAAAATATTATTGCATTATATTGTAGATGCTTTCCATTTTGCTATTATTAGTAATATTAGTTCTACTGATACTACTGCTTTAAGGACAGGGAGCTCTGCTGTCACTTTACTTATTTGCTATGAACTCTTACAACTTTATACAGAATATAGATAACTTTTTTTTAAATTAATCTTTAAGACAGGGTCTCACTGTGTACCTATACCCTTGCACTTGAGGTGATCCTCCTGCCTCAGCCTCATGAGTACTGAGATCACAAGCATGTGTTCCTGCTCCTGACTTTCATTTTATTTTTGAGACAAGGTTTCACTATGTTGCCCAAGCAAGTCTTGAACTCCTGGCTCAATCAGTCCACCTGTTTCATCTTCCCAGTAGCTGGGGTGACAGGCACATACCACTGTACCAGCTAATTCAGTTTATAAATCCTGTTATAATATTTTTTTTACCCCTGTCTTTTCCACTAACATTTTTTAGTTGTCCAGCAAAAGTCAACATCCTATAATTCAGTTCAGTTCTGATACTGCATGCCTGGAGTTTTCTCCCCAAGCATAAGGGTACCTTTGCAGGATACCCATACTTTAGACCCCAGTTGGCAGTACTAGGACCCAGGCCTCCCTGTACTTTGTCAGACTTACCTACAAAGTTAGTGGTTCCTACTCTATTTAGCTTTAATAATTTGTTACAATGGCTCACAGAATTCAGGAAAATACTAACCATTACAAATTATTTAAAAGGGACGCAAGTGAAGAACCAAAGGTATATAAGATGAGGTTTGAAGGATTCTCTGTCCCTTTAATGTTGAAATACCTGTTTGAATGTTAATGTTTGCCAACTCATGCTCTCTGAATCTTCTTGTTGGGATTTTTATGGAGTTTTCACTATAGAAGCATGATGCGTTAAGTTAGAGAACATTAAGAGACTGAACTCAGTCTCTAGCTTCTTTCTCCTCCTCAGAAGTTGGAGTAGTAGGGCTGAAAGTCCTAATTGTGACATGGTCATTCTGTTGACCAGTTCCCATCAGGAAGCTATCAAGATGCTCCTCAGACAAATGAAAGATACTTATCACTCAAGAATTTAAAGGGTTTTAGGAGCTCTGTGCTTGGAACTGAATATAAAAACCAGTGTTTTGTTCTATTTTCTTGCTAGAAATGGCTGTCTTTAATATTTAATACAAACTTTTTGTTCTATTCAAAATGTGTCACTTGGGGGCTGGTCAGGTGACTCAGGCTAAAGGCATTTACTGACAACCCTGATTATCTGGGTTCAGTCCCTAGAACCTACATGATGGAAAGAAAGAACAGATTTCTCAGAGTTGTCGTGACTTCCACATGTCCCTCCTATACACAAATAAATAAATAAATAAACTGAAAAATGGGCCGATTGAGAAAGAAAAACACAGTTGATTAGTGTATTTTTTATTGCATTAAATACTTTCTATTATTCCTTCCAAAACAGACTCTCCTTGAGTATGCAGAGAAATGGAAAACAGAAGACCCCTTACCTTTACTGGAGGTATACACAGTGGCTATCCAAAGTTATGTTAAAGCTCGACCTTACCTTACCTCTGAGTGTGAAAGTGTAGCCTTGGTTCTGGAACGCTTGGCATTGTGAGTAGACCTTTGAAAAATGAATCAAAGACCATACTTAACTTTTTCTTAAACTTTATATCTTAGATTTTATGATAGCTTAGATTTTACTTAATTTTAAATAGATTGGTTATGAAGAATCTATGGATACTAGTATTATTGATTTTATTTTATTTCGAATTTTGATAATCATTTGTATCCTTACCAACCTTTTGTTTTTTAGAAGCTGTGTTGAACTTTTACTGTGTCTACCTGATGAATTATCAGATAAACAGTGGGAACAGTTTCAGACACTGGTACAGGTGAGGATATTTACCTATTTAATGTGGATATGTCTTACTAGTTTTCCATATTCTTAAAAAATTTTAATTTGGTTAAACTAAATGGTAGAAAATATCAATTGCTGCTCTTATTAATACTAGTGTCTTACGTAGTAGATGCCAAATAAATATTTGGCCTGTGAACATATACATGTAGGTAGAGTGGTTGAATGCTACAGTACTTGCAACTCAAATCATTAGGACCTTGCCAGAGCAGCAGCAAAGGAAATCAGAAGAACATGCCCTCATTTGGGTTTAGAAACAGTTTAATTAACTGCTGAAGTTCTGTAATACAGACTGTAAGAATATAACAAATCTTGTGAAAACTTCAAGAGGGTACATATTTTCCCCATTTTAAAGGTTAGGAAACTAAGGTTCATACTCTAAAAATATTTATGTGTTCATATTTGTATAGCTAATATCTGAGAAAAGGTTCATTATCCAGTGCTTGTGCTTTGCCTCCTGTATTTGAAGACAAATGCTTTGTCTCTCAGTGCTATTTTTCTACTTCTCTACTATTTTATTTACGATGTTGTTTTGCAGTACTTTCAAGAATGTTAACTATTATCTCAAGAGATATTTTGTCCTGGTTGAATAATTGCTCAAATAAATTTTGATTAATTGGTTTAAAAATGTTTCTGCTAGCTAGATTCAAAAGATGTAATTATATCTCTGTCTCTCTATCTCTTTATCTGTCTTTCAAGAGTAAGGATTAGCCTTAAATTTTAGAAATGTGAAACAAGCTATAGTTGAGGCAAGAAATCCAATTTTTCTATTTAAATATTAAGTCTGTCCAGTATAAGGTCCTTGAAGTTAGGATTCCCATCTTACTTAAATCCACAGGATTCTTCATAGTGTCTTACACAGAATAAATGCTTAGTAACTTGAGAGTATCTTATTAGAAAAAGAAAAACAAAAGGGAAAAAGCAAAACAAAAACCTCTTTGACCAGGCATGGTGATACATCTGTATAATCCCTACACCTGGGAGACTGGGGCAGGAGGATCAGGAAGGAGTTCAATGCCAGCCTCAGGTACAATAGTGAGTTTGCTGTTAGCCTGGATTACATGAGACCTTGTCTCAAAAAGAAAAAGGAAACCAGGCATAGTGGCACATACCTTTAATTTCAACACTGTACAGAGGCAGAGGCAGGTGGATCTCTTAGGAGTTCAAGGCTGGCCTGTTGTACATAGTGAGTTCCAGGCCAGCCAGAGCTACATAGTTGAGATCCTGACTCCAAAAAGAAAGAATGAAAATGTTTTGTCTTGTTTGTCACATTACAACTATTTTTTAATTGTAGCTTCTACTTTAGCATGTTAACTTACATTTCTCTTTTCTGACAGCTGATATTTTAGATAAATTGTTTGTCTTTCAGATATACCTGGCCACCAAATTTAAATACACTGTTTATTCACAAACTGAATTTCTCATACTGCTACTGCCTTTTCCCAAACATTAGATAAACTTTTAAACTTTCACTTTTGAAACAAACAAAAACATTAGTTACTACACTTTAATATAGTTAATATGGAAATAATTTGGAGGATAGTGTTAGGGCTCAAACGCAGGACTTGCACATGTTAGGCAAACATTCTATGGCCATGCATGTTCAGCTATTACCTGAAGAAAATATCTAATTTTAATTATTTACAATTGTTGAAATGGGAAGATTTTTCATGGCTTTGAGGAATTGTCTTTTTATTTAGATGTAACATGCAGTCTTAAGTTTCCATGGCATTGGGCTCTTTATTTTAGAGCTTTTTCATTGCTAAATTAATACCTGCTTTATTTTCCCCATGTTTTTGATTGTTTAAATATTTCTTTATCCCATTAGACGATAAGCCCCATAAAAGCAGAAATGGCTTGCTATTTTCATCAGTACTTTACCCATAGAAATTCTCAAACATAGCATAATTAAATAAGTATTACTATTCTTTTGTGGAATGAAGAATATGCTGATTATATGGATGCTCAGAAAAAACTAAAAAACAAGGTTTATTATCATCTTCAATGTAAAATTTCAAAGGCATGTAATATGTAAGAAAAATTAAAATCATACGTGTAGTTACTTTCTTTCACAAGTTTCTTTTATTGGAATGTAGGTAGGTTGCTACTTAAGCCATGATTTATTAATGGAGCTTGCAAGATATATATATATATATAAATTAATTTATTTCTTATCCTTGAAGTTTGTCTATCAGAAGTCAAGGAATTCTGTACCTGGTATCATGATGTGAAATTTTTAAGATAAAGTAGTTTTCAAAAGCTTAGTGTTGTATGTGAAACCTGACAAGTTGCTTTAAAAACTCTGTTGTAATTCTTTGGCTGTTTAATATTTGTAGGTAGCTCATGAGACGCTGATGGAGAGTGGCAGCTGTGAACTGCACTTTTTAGCTACTATAGCTCAAGAGACTGGGGTATGGAAAAACCCAGTATTGTGCACTATTCTTTCCCAAGAACCATTGGATAAGGATAAAGGTAAATTTTCTAGAGAAAGAGAGAAAAGCAAAGAATAATTAAACTAGGAAAAATAAAGTTGCTCACATGCAGTTCATTGACATATTCTGAAGACAGTCCGTATAATTAAATTTCAAGTGAAGGACTTAAAGCTTTTTCCTTTATTTTATTTGGACGAAGATCATTTGTAGGAATTTAGAAAAACAAAAACTGCAATTTTTCCCCCTTCTCATCTTTCATCAAAGACTATCTTTCTGCAGCATCCTGACAAGTAGCAGTATAATTTGATTTAATGATTAACTTAACAGAAGCAACAGAAATAAGGTAGTGAATGGTTTTCCTCAAAATAGAAGTCAGTCCTAGGACTCTCAGTCTTCTGTTTCTAAGATAACCACTCTCAGATTGTTGTTCAGTCTTACTTTATTGTAAGGAGGTCAGGCAATAAAGATCCCAGTTAAACTCAAACTGGCAGGTATTCTGTTGGAAGTAGATAGTAGCTAAGTCACTAACAGACAATACTTAGAGTTTTAATTACACCATGAAGAACAGCAGCACAGTTGTCTTCTAGGCACTGAATGTAGTATATTAATAATAATATAAAATTACATTGAATGTAGTTCCTAAATGTGTGTTAAGTATGCTTCTATATGTCCTTTAATTTGACCTTCATAATGGTCCTCTGATAAAGGTAAGATTGTTAGTACCTTGTCTCTGCTTTACAGATGAGTAACTAGAGGCTCGAGAAGATCGTCTTTTCCATATCACATTACTAATGATAAGAGGCAGAGCCAAGAATCACTCTCCAGTACTGAACTTCTGTTATGACCTATTATACGTACCCTAATAAAGAAATATTACAGCCAACTTGACTAAAAGATTAGCTTCTTGTGGTGGCGCACGCCTTTAATCCCAGCACTCGGGAGGCAGAGGCAGGCGGATCTCTGTGAGTTTGAGGCCAGCCTGGTCTCCATGGTGAATCCAAGACAGCTGGAGCTACAGGGAGACCCTGTCTCAAAAAGACCAAAATAAAGATTAACTTCTCTTGGCCTTTTTCAGTTTCTCAGTAACATTTTGACAAACTCACACACTTTGTTAAAGGAAATAAAAAGGCTCTGGGGCTGGAGAGATGACTCAGGGGTTAAGAGCATTGGCTGCTCCTGCAGAGGACCTAGGTTCTGTTCCCAGCACCCACAGGATGTCTAACAACTGTCCTTAACTCCAGTTCCAGGGTGTCTGATGCCTTCTGGCCTCCAAGGGCATTGCATTGCCTGTGCACTTCCATACATGCAGGCAAAGCACTCATACACATCAATTAATTAAGCACAGTTTAAGTGATATTTTAAGAAGTAATATGCTCTGTATTCTTGTTTGAATGTTGCTGATATGGTACATGTTAACAAATGTCTGTCCCTGTTGGTCTCTTTGTTGCTTTTAATGCTTTATTTCTTAGTTATCCCTCACATTGCCACTGGAATAATTTGGACTGTGCAGCCAAGAGGAATTTCTGTAATGCAAATGAATTGTATGTTGCCAGATCCAAATACAACTCATGAAGCAAACAGTTATTACATGATGTGAGAGATTTTGAAGCCATAATCTTCAGCCTTTACTTAGTCCTGTATTATTTAGAAAGCTGATTTGATGACTGACCACATAATCCACAAGAGTAAATTTTTATTTCCTTTGGGAAAAGTTGAAGGAATTAAATTTTGGCATCTGTACTAATTTTTTCAAATTTAGTGATACAAGGATGGGGAACTCTGAGCTGTTACAGTCTATGTCTAGCTCCTTAGTTTAGCTTAAGCTAGCCTTTAGCAAATATTAAGAGGGCAGTAAATGCTCAGAGAATAATGAATGTACCTCGAAAGGCTGTACATGTGTGTTACTTTTATAGTGATGCCTTTGAAGTTTTGACAGAGTATTTGAAAAGTCGAAATATGCTTAATCCTGCAGTATAATTTAACTGAGTCTGCTGAACCCAGGCTAAACCCCAAAATCTCTTTGATTTGGATGCATGAGCTTAGACAGGACTCAAAACTATAAATGCTGGTTTCACTAGGATTTTAGCATCCTAAAATGAGGTAACTATAGTAATAAGTCAATGTAAATCAAGTAGATGGCTTTGTTTAGTTTGAGACAGGGCCTTGCTGTGTAGCCTTTTTTGGCATTGGTCTCACTGTGTAGACCATTCGACTCGTGGTGATCTTTCTTCCTCAGCCTCCACAGTGCAGATACGAGCCACCACACCTAGCTGCAGATCGATCATTTTGAATATAAAAGGAAGTTTAGGCTGCCTTAACCTACTGTGCTTTTCTTTAGTCATAACTAAATTGGAAAGGTACTTAATGATCACTTTTTTGTTATCCAATTTTAACTCTCCTCTGAAACATGGGAAAAGGAAATCATTCTGAACACACCTAGAAAATGGTAACTGTATAGTTCAATCCATTCTTAGCCTATTAGAAAATATTTTATGTGTACGTGTGTTTTGCTTGCATGTATGTAAGTGAATCTGTGCCTACAATACCTGCAGAGGCCAGAATAGGGTGTCAAACCCCCTGCAGCTAGAGTTAAGAACAGTTGTTAGCTACCATGTGGGTTCAGGAAACTGAACCTGGGTCCTCTGCAAGAACAGCCAGTGTTCTTAACCACTGAGCTATCTCTCCAGCCTTTATTTAAAAAATTGATAAAATTGCATTTGAGAATTTTCTGCCTTTTGGATATGGTATTATTCCTAAAGCTGGCCTTGAACTATGTAATGGGAGATAACCTTGAACTTCTGATCCTCCTGCCTATTCTTTCTGAATGCATATATTACCAAGCCCTGTTTATGCAAGGCCTCATGCATGCTAGGCATTCTACCATCTGAACTACATCCCCAGCCCACAACTGAGATGTGCATATGTGCATACATGCATACGTGGACATGTGTGCCGGTGCCTGTAGAAGCCAGAGTAACCTTGGGTGTCACACTGGGAGAAATCTACTTAATTTTTTGAGACAGTTTCTCATTGGGACCTGGAGCTCACCAGCTCTTTTAGGCTGACTGGCCAGTGAGGTCTAGAAATCCTCCTGTCTCCACCTTTTTGGCACTGAGATTGCAAACACACACCATCATGCCAGGCTTTGCTGAAGGTCAAACTCAGGTCCTCATGCTTATATAACAAGAACTGTATTGACTGAGCTATCTCCTCAGCCCCATGATTGAGGGTTTTTTGTTTGTTTCTTTTTGTTTTTTAAATAAAAGGAATAGTTTGTATTTATAGTTCCAAGGGGCAAGAGTCCATTGTGGCTGGGAAGCATGGCTACAGAAGTGGCTGGAGGAGGAGATCTCAGATCTTCAAGCAGGCACAGGAAGGAAGAAAGTAATTGGAGATCCATTAAGGCTTAAGAACTCCCACCCCTAGTGACATGTTTCCTCCAGCATGGCCACACCTAAGACCTCCCAAAACAGCACCACCAGCTGGGGACAAAAAAGTCTAAATACTTGGAGCCTGTGGGGGACATTCTCATTCAAACCACCACATTCCATCCCCTGGCCCCCGTAGGTTCATGGCCGTATAAATACAAAATGCATTTAGTCTAACCTTAAAAGTCCCCATAGTCTTTACCAGTCTCTACTGCTCAGAAGTCTGCAGTCTAAAGTCTCTTCTGAGACTCAAGGAAATCACTTAACTTAAGCCCCTGTAAAATCAAAAGACAGATTACATACTCCCAACATAGAGTGGAACCAAATCCAAATTCCCATTTCAAAAGGGAGGAATAGAAGCATAGTGAGGAGGTACTGGACCAAAACAAGATTGAAAACCAGCAGGACAAACACCAAATCCAGTAGCTCCATGGCTGACTTCTGGGACTTTACTTCCAAAAGGCTTAGATGGCTCAGCCTCTCCAACTTTGCTATGTGAAACATACATCTCTCTCTTGGGCTGGTACCATTCCCTGTATGCAGCTCCTCTTGGCAGATGCCTCTCAGCTGTGGCATCACACACATCTTGGGGTCTCCATTCAGAACCAGGCCTTTTTCACAGCCTCATGAAATGGCCTATCAGGGCCTTCTTTATGCAGATGTACCCCTGCTGCATGCTGCCTGGCCTCAGCAGAGGCTCTCCAAAACCTCGGAGGAAGAACTCATGAACCTTCACTCTTGCATTTTTCATGCCTCTAAAGCCAGCACCTGGTGAAGGACACTGCCAAGTTTGGCTGCAAGTTTGGGATGGGCCCCCGCCTGCTTTATCCTTTTTAGATGCTCTTCTCTTCAGTGGCCCCTTCAGCATTTACTTTTCACAAGTTAGAGGTTTAGCTGGTGGTGGCCTTGCCCTGGAGGCACTCTCTCCATTGTTTAAGTATTAATCTGTAGGCCTCTCCTTAATCACTTTAATGTCACTATCAAAAGGACCTTCTCCTTCAGCACATGACTTTGCTCCAATATTAATCTTCCTAGAGCTCCTTTTCAGGCCAAATTGTACATTCTGTATTCTTTCTGCCCCATTTGCCCTTTTTCACTGTAGATCTGCATAATACTCACCATTAATAGCCACACCACCATTTCTATGTTAGGTTGTCTTGAAATTTCTTCCACCAGGGAAATTAGTCCATTACTTTTCAACTTGGCCTCAGGCAAGCTTTTTGGCCATGGTCAGACTCCAGGCAGACTCTTTGCAAAAATATCGCAATTGCTCCTTAAGTCCTTATTCCCTCTGGAACTACATTGTTCTCAGCACTGATTTCTTCCAGGCACGTACTAGAATGGTGTGTTAAACTCTGCTTACAGCAATCAACCACTTTCCTAATCCAAGCTTCTAAAGTCTTCCACATTCTTCCAATAGCCCACTCTCTGGTACCTATTATTGTATTAGTCACTTTTCTGTTGCTGTAATAGAAACACTGACCAAAGCATTTAACAGAAGGAGGAGTTTATTTGAGCTTACAGTTCCAGGGGAATTATAGTCCCTCATAGCAGGGAGGCATGGCAGCAGAGGTGGCTGGAGGAGGAGCAGAAGCTAAGCTCTCAAAAGCAG